ATATATTTGAAAGAGTTAAACCAAGCATTGGGAAGGCATTATATGCAGATGATGGTGCAGTATGGAGAAGAGGTAGGAATTTAGGAAATGTAGTTAAAGGAATACAATAATCAATAAATGAAGTTGAAAGGTGGTCAGTAGATTGGGGATTGAAGTTTTCAGTATCAAAGACTCAATGTATGGTTTTTACAAAGAAAAAGAAAAAGGAACAAATTACTCTGGAATTCTATGAACAATTGTTAGAAAGAGTGACAGAGTTCAAATATCTTGGATTAATCTTTGATGAAAAATTAACTTGGAAGAGACATATTAAGAAAATTGAAAACAAATGCAAAGGAGTAATAAATTGCATGACTTCAATAGCTAAGTATGAATGGGGAGCCAGGAAAAGTGCACTGTTACATGTATACCAAGCCTTAATACGGTCTAGTGTAGACTATGGGTGTGCAGTGTATCGTGCTGCAGTAAAATCAGAATTAAAGAAACTGGACAGCATACAGTCCAGAGCACTTAGAATCTGCTGTGGAGCAATAAGATCAACTCCTCTAGATGCCATCAGGGTCGAAATGGGGGAGATGCCAGTAGATTTAAGAAGAGAAAAGCTTGCGATGATGTACTGGGTTAATCTACAGGGTAGTAATAAGAGTCATCGTACACGCACAATTTTAAATGATTGTTGGGAATATAAAAAGAATGGAGGGAATAGTTTTGGTTGGAAGCATGAACAGTGGGTTAAGTCAAGTCACCTTTATTTATATAGCGCTTTTAACAATACAGATTGTGTCAAAGCAACTGAACAGCATTAATTAGGAAAATAGTGTGTCAATAATGCAAAATGACAATCGTAAACACTAATTTTTCAGTTAAAGACTGAGCTCATCCAGCTCAGTTCAGTTTAAATAGTATCTTTGCAATCATTTACAATCAAGTCAAGGATAATCGCTGGAAATGAAGTGTCCCCAACTAAGCAAGCCAGAGGCGACAGCGGCAAGGAACCAAAACTCCATCGGTGACAGAATGGAGAAAAAACCTTGGGAGAAACCAGGCTCAGTCGGGGGGCCAGTTCTCCTCTGACCAGACGAAACCAGCAGTTCAATTCCAGGCTGCAGCAATGTCACATTGTGCAGAGGACTCATCTGGTTCCTGTGGTCTTGTCCCGGTGGCCGTCTGAGACAAGGTCTTTACAGGGGATTGTTAAGGATTGTGGTCTGGAGAATGAAGAAATCTGTCCCAACATGCCATTAAATGGGGTATCGGTATGGATTATTCCTGAACCCATTGTTGAAATGAGATTGTTGGAGGCCCGGGAAAAAGCAGAAGAAAGATATACTAATAGTTATGAAATCAATGTTTTTATGAGAGAAAATTTGTATTCTTTTATACAGATCTATACAGATGGATCTAAAGACCCAATCAAACAAAAAGTGGGCATAGGAGTGTACATTCCCAGATTTAAGACGAAAATAAGTTTAAGGTTAAGTGACAAATTGTCTATGCATTCTACAGAATTAACTGCTATAATAGTAGGATTGCAGTGGGTAGAACAGATGAAGCCAAATAGGACTCCAACTGTAATTTGCTCAGATTCTTCATCAGCTCTTTAAAGTATATTGTCGACAAACACTGATAGAGAAGACCTGCTAGTAGAAATGTATACATTACTGTACAGACTGAAAATAGAGGGTATAACTGTATATCTGTATATACATATCGGGATAGTAGGGAATGAAACAGCGGATAAATTAGCAAAAGAAGCTTTAAAGAAAAACTTGGTGGATGTTAAGGTACCTCTGGGAAGGAATGAGATAAAATCAGTAATTAATAGGGAAATAATACGAATATGGCAACAAAGATGGGAAAATATCAGCTCAGGTAGGTGGTATTATAATATTGATTATAATATTGTAAAATCAGTAGGGAAAAAAGAACAGTTTTATGGAAGACACAGAAAGGAAGAAGTAATGATTTCTAGATTAAGGATGGGTCACACAGGACTAAACTCAACACTTGCATTAATGGGGAAGCATGGAAATGGTACAGTATGTGTGATGAAGGTGATGTTTTTGAAACCGTAGAGCATGCGCTCTTTAAATGTAGTAAATATGAAGATCAGCGTAACAGTCTTTTTAGCAATATAAGGAACAGACCAGTGAGTGTCGTGGACCTTTTGGGAAAGGGGTTGAGTGACAGTCAGATGTTTAAGGTGGCTTTAACATTTTTAGAGTTTACAGGATTAGACCACAGGATTTAGTGTTTGAGGATGAGGATCATGATGCTTCTGTGGAGTGTGGAAGCTGGAGGAGCTGAACACACAGAGCCAGCTGAAGCTTGGGCTCTGATCCTCTGGGGGATTTTTGGTAATTTGTAATAAGTAAATACACTGATTTGCAATATTTATATAATATACAGACTTCAGCATGTTTTATGAGTATGTAGTTACAGCAATGTTGTTTTTAAAACATAAAAAATCGCTAATATTTGAGGATTAGTGTGATCAAGCATTACCTGCCTATGCAGTATATGCATATAGGAGCTGAACACGCAGCGCCAGCTGAAGCTTGGGCTCTGATCCTCTGGGGTAGGTGGGTGGGGCATTACAAAAAAATATTTTTTTCTTCCCTTCAGTACAGATTCATCACACATGTGCGCAAGATATACAGTAGGTGGCGATAATAAAAGGAGTGAACGGCCATTGAACAAAAAGAAGAAGAAGTTACATCCGCCATTAAACACCAAGAAGAAGAAGAAGAAGAAGAAGAAGAAGAAGAAGAAGAAGAAGTAGTTACGTTTCTATAATCTCAGCGGCCTCACCGACCTCAGGAACACACTACGGATGTGTGTTTTCACAGCATTATAATTCTCACAGACGGATGTCAACAAAGTCGCTGGTTAGCGATGTTTAGCTAGCGAATGCTAACAAACAGCCCGTTCGCCGCGGTGTTTTACATTTATATGTTTGTTTACTTGTATAAAATGACATAACGTTGACATTGTTTTTAATTTGTCTGTGTAATTGTAAAATACAGAAGATAACACATTACTATTCTTGACTTTAGAATGTGTGAATGCTAACTAGTGCGTATGTTGTCTAATAATACTGAACAGCGGTAGTTATTTACTCTGTGTTGTGCATATCTACGTTTTCGCGTTTATTAACAAATAATGGATATCTACCATGGTACTTTGAGATAAGTTACCATGGTATTTACATGACACTCGTGCTGGTGGCTTGGGCTCTGATCCTCTGGGGTGGGTGGGGCATTACAAAAAAATATTTTTTTCTTCCCTTCAGTACAGATTCATCACCCATGTGCGCAAGATATACAGTAGGTGGCGATAATAAAAGGAGTGAACGGCCATTGAACAAAAAGAAGAAGAAGTTACATCCGCCATTAAACACCAAGAAGAAGAAGAAGAAGAAGAAGAAGAAGAAGAAGTAGTTACGTTTCTATAATCTCAGCGGCCTCACCGACCTCAGGAACACACTACGGATGTGTGTTTTCACAGCATTATAATTCTCACAGACGGATGTCAACAAAGTCGCTGGTTAGCGATGTTTAGCTAGCGAATGCTAACAAACAGCCCGTTCGCCGCGGTGTTTTACATTTATATGTTTGTTTACTTGTATAAAATGACATAACGTTGACATTGTTTTTAATTTGTCTGTGTAATTGTAAAATACAGAAGATAACACATTACTATTCTTGACTTTAGAATGTGTGAATGCTAACTAGTGCGTATGTTGTCTAATAATACTGAACAGCGGTAGTTATTTACTCTGTGTTGTGCATATCTACGTTTTCGCGTTTATTAACAAATAATGGATATCTACCATGGTACTTTGAGATAAGTTACCATGGTATTTACATGACACTCGTGCTGGTGGACTGACAAACCAGTTGAACCCGGCACTGTTATTATTTTGTCATTGCCAGGTTGAGACTCAAATCTTGGGGCTGCTGTTAACTTTCCCATCGAGCCGGTTTGGGGACGTGTGTTTGTCCCCCTCATCTTCTGCGAGATGGGCAGTCATTTCCGCAGCTACGTCTGGGATCCAATCCTCATCATCTCCCAGATTATGCTCATGCAGTGCATCTATTACAGCTTCTTGGGTCTGTGGTTGGCTGGTGTTGATGGTTTGGTCCATACCAGCAGATCACTCGACCAGATATTCAGTTACGAGGTAACTGTCCAAATAGAGTTCATCAAAAGCAAGATGAATAAAATTGATGTTGTCAACCCAGAACTACAACTAACTAGTTTACTTTCTGTCAAGGTTCTTGGCTTTTCAACAACACAGGGTCGCTTGTCTATGATGGCGTTCATTCTGAATTCTCTCACATGGTAAGTTTAGATTAATGCCGTCCTATTCCAAACATTTATCTCACTTTTATCTGCCATCTGAAGTCATTCTTGGCTCCGTGTCTCTTTCTCAGCGCTCTTGGCCTGTGGTTTTTCATCCGACGGGGGAAGCAGTGTCTGGACTTCACCGTGACGGTGCATTTCTTTCACATGATCTGCTGCTGGATCTATAACGCCCATCTCACAGCCACCCTGTCATGGTGGTTGGTTAACGTGGCCTGCATGGCCCTCATGGCGGTCATCGGCGAGTACTTGTGCATGCGGACAGAGCTCAGAGCCATCCCTGTCAACACGACACCCAAATCCAACCTTTGAGGACTGTTTAAGAGACAGATGTGCCACAGCTGGTGTGTATGAGGTTGTGCATCGGCGTGTTGACAGATGCTGCTGTGGTTTTCTGAGAGATTGAGCAGAAGTGACTTGGATGTTCTGTGATGTTTTGGTCACATCACTGTATTTAATCCGGATGACGTTGAGATGGTCCACACGAGTTTCATGCTGCATCGCATGATAATCCTCCCTCAATCAGCATTATGATGACATTCGCATCATTTCAAAATTACTATTGTAATTATTCTTATTTAGGACCAACACTTTATCATTCATGGATGGCTACTGAAAATATGAAAGTGATGGTCTGTTTTAAAAGCAGCGAAAGCATCATGTGTAAATCTTAATCTAAATAAAATGCTATGTATTTCTGAATACTTGGATAATGGTTCCTGTTGCTTTGGAATGAAATAAGATATTAAGTGGTTTTCCTGTTTTATCAAGTCATCCTTTTACAAATACCAATGGCAGAATTTAATTGACCTTAGATGTAGTTTATTAAACGAGTTTGTCAACATGAAATCAAAACTAATCCTATTTGCTTTCTTGATTCATGTTCTTGTTGAGTATGTTATTCCAAAAGACAAAGTGAAAAGTTACTAAGGTTTTTTTTGTCATTGAATATCCTATTTCTCTCAGATATCTCACATTAAGGAAGTAAAATGGCTTGCTAATAATGTGTCATGTATTTTGCATTCAATTTTGTCCCACATGCCCATCAGAATCTCTTTCAAGATTTGTTTGCAATGAGTATTTGAGTGATATATGAACCTTAAACTTTTTGTGAAGATTTTTGTGACATGACGACCCATACTTGGAATTAGTGCTCTGCATTTAACCCATCCAAAGTGCGCACACACACAGCAGTGAACGAACACACACACACCTTGCCTTGCTCAAGGGCACCTCAGTCGTGGTATTGAAGGTGGGAGAGAGCGCAGTACATTCATTCACTCCCCCCACAATCCCTGCCGGTACGAGACTCGAACCCGCAACCTTTGTTACGAGTCCGACTCTCTAACCATTAGGCCACGACATCCCCATATGAGGATATGAGGTCAATCAAATCAACTAGATTTTTCACTTATTCTGCAATAAATCAGAAACCGCAATATCAAATGTATGATCTCAGTTTGTCAGAACTGAAGTGTGAGTTTCGGCTTTTTAAAAAATGTATTCTTTGTTAACTTTGCAACATCCTGTTTCTCAAACACTTTCAGACCACATAATACTGACTACTAAAAAATATTATAGAAAGGCTTCATATTAGCTGTCATGCTTCAGGCTCAAAATAAAAGATAGTAAAACTGCAAATGGTGTTGCAACCTGTTTGACATTGTGCTGTGTTGCAGACCCTTTATCAATGGTTTTGCTTTTGGTGGGACTTTGTAGCTTTGAATGACCGAACAACATGAAACATTAAAGCTGAGCTGTTTAAAGCTGCACAGTTAAACATCTCATGGCAGCTGCATGGTTTCTCGCACATGTTGTGGCATAAAGCATCGCTTGTCGACATGTTATTTTTTCAAATGATTTGTCAGAATAAAACTATATTCTGCAAAGTGACTTTTTGTTTGAATTTTTGTTTAAATAAGTATTCGCCATTCTCAAAAAGTAGAGGTTTTTTTTTGGTACTAAAATTTAAGGCTTTTAGGACCAAAGTGAATTAATGTAATTTTCATTATTGTTGAGTGATTCTGTGTTATAAACAAATATTAACAGTGTTGGGGAAAGTTACTTTTAAAAGTAATGCATTACAATATTGCGTTACTCCATAAACAATTTAACTAATTACGTTACTTAGTTACTTTTTATGGAAAGTAATGCGTTACGTTACTTTTGCGTTACTTTTTAAATCTGGACAGGGCTTGCTTGTTTGTTTTTAAAATAAAAAGTTATATTTTTGGCAAATATAAAAGCCTTTTCACACCAAAAGTGAAATGAATAAGCCTCAGGCTGAAGGGAAAGTACAGTAGAATGCAGAAGAAGACATTTCAACACACTTCAGCGATAAAAAAAGACACAGATGTTCTTCTAGAGTAATTTGTGCTTATTAGTACGCTTGAACTGGATCATCGAAGGTCAGAAGCAAAGACATTGCTTTATAGAATGGCATTAAATACATAAAGCATATTTGTGTTGTTTAACATTTAATTATTGCAGGCTTGCGTCAAATTCTGAGTTGCGTTATTTTTATTCATTTTGAGGAATATTGAATCTGTGTTTTTTTTTGTGTGTGAGTGAGATGAATTAATGCATATTCATATTTATTTTAGATCTACAGTAACATCTGATTTCTCTCAACATGGGGACAGGAGAGCCGTCAGTCAATACATTGGGGGGGAAAAAGTAACTTGTGTTACTTATTTGAAAAAGTAACTCAGATATTCTCTTGTAAATTAAAAAGTAATGCGTTACTTTACTAGTTACTTGAAAAAAGTCATCTGATTACGTAACTCGCGTTACTTGTAATGAGTTACTCCCAACACTGATGATGATAATATTAAGGTCAGAGCTCTTTATTGTCATTGTACAGGTATGAGAATATGTTATACTCAGGAGGTATTACAATTAAATATGGTATTGGAAATGTGCTTAACTGTCACCATAATACATGTATTTTGATTTTGGGGTCAAATGTGACCACATGCATGCAGTGGTAAACGGAGACAGGTTCCCTCCCAAACACGGAGTGGCGCCAGTGCGCGCGCGTCTTCGCTCCAAACCCAAACAAAGACGTAAAAGCGTTTTCATATTCTACTTCCGGTGCTTTCACCCCGCGCTGTTCCGCTGTGAAGATGCCGAAGTGAGTCTCTCTTTATGTTTATTTTATACAATAATACGATATGTACGAAACAGACCAGCAGGCTTTAGTCGCGAAGGGTTCATTAATATATCTGTTATACCTTTAGGCATTTTAGAAAACCACGTTGCGAATACAACCGCGTTTCTCAGTCAAGAGCTAGTAGCTCTTCAAGCTAATCCAGCATTTAAATGGGTTAAAGAGTTTTTAATTTAGTGTATTAGTTATTATATTTATATGCAGCTCACTGCTTTAAATGCCATCTTTTGCAATCCGTTTTTAAAAGAGTACCATGTAAATACAGTTGTACGTGAATTCAATGCCATGGTCATACTATGCTATTTATATGAAGCCCGTAATTACTTAAAGAAGACTAAAGTACTAAATGATGGTACTTTGTTAGGTTTTGTTAAAGTGACAGTTCTTTACTATGGTATTATTATCCGTACCATCACTGCACTGTAGCACCTGGTATTTTTAACCAAGGGTGGGTTGTTTTTGTCTCTTTCAGGTTTTATTGTGATTATTGTGACACATACCTGACACACGATTCGGTAAGATCACCACTTTTTCTAGAATCTGATGATAGTCTGGCCTGTTTAACATCACGTTATTATCTGTTGAAATGTTCATTATTTGTGTGTTTAATCTCTGCAGCCATCGGTCAGAAAGACACACTGCAGCGGACGAAAACATAAAGAAAATGTGAAAGATTATTATCAAAAATGGATGGAGGAGCAGGCTCAGAATCTCATCGACAAAACAAGTGAGTGAACAACATTATGTCTGATCTATGCGAATATCTGTTTCTGCCACATAGTTAAAAAAGGTCATTGATTTGAAAAAAAGGTAATTAGTTGTGACCTTCATAATTCTGGCGTTTTTCCTTGCAATTCTGATATTGTCCGAATTGCAAGATATACTAAGAGTGCTATTTTAAAAGTTCTAGTACTATAAACTATTTTGACTAATTTCTTGATCTTTTAAAAGATCAGTGGTCCAGTCTAAAAGTCATTTTTGTCTGTTTCAGCGGCCGCTTTCCAGCAGGGTAAAATTCCACCCACCCCATTCCCAGGAGCCCCTCCACCTGGCGGATCTCTGCTACCGCATCCAAATATTAGTACGTTGCAAAGTTCTGAAATGTTCACTTCCTTTCAAGGCAGCTGCAAAGCATATAACAATTTCGGAGTTAACTTTATGCTTATATATGGCGAGACTACAGGCAAAAGCATGTTTTTTTTATTTTTTAGATTTTGAGCTATTTTGCTTCCATAACTATGGACGCAAACTAACTACTGATTTGATTACATTATATTATTAACATATAATTTACAAGGAATAACATGTTTTTTCTCGCAGGCGGACCTCCGAGACCGGGCATGTTACCAGCTCCACCCATGGGTGGTCCTCCTATGATCCCCATGATGGGCCCCCCTCCTCATGGCATGATGCCTGGTAAGGCTGTTTATCTGTAAATATAACTACGTTAATGTGAGGGATTTTTATTAATGGCAATCTGAATTGACCATTCATCTGGCTTTCTTTCAGGTCCAGGTATGCGGCCACCAATGGGTGGACCTATGCAAATGATGCCCGGGCCACACATGATGCGACCTCCCGTTCGGCCAATGATGGCCATTAGACCCGGTATGGTGCGACCTGATCGATAAAGCTACGGTTCCGCGTTTATTATCCCGATATCCACAGAAGACTCGGCCAAATATCTACACTGGTTTTACAGTCGATCTAAGAGGTTTTTTTTGCCCATTTGCGTTTTATGATGACTAATGTCTGCGGTTCAGAAAACGTTGGTTCACTCGAGTGACTCAGATTACCACAAATTCTTGTAAAATCTAATGAACCTTCCATTGGCTTTCATTTCATATTTATGACAGACCAGAGGGTGTTGCGTAATGGGTTTGTGTATGATGTGCATTTATTACGTTGATGGATGTTATTTACTGTTAGGATGATTTTCAGCTTTTTGTTTTTCATGTATTTTGAGAAAAGAAAATAAAAAACTTGCAAATCTGTTATGTTTTGATTTGGTCTGCTTGTGTAACATTTAAATAGAAACTAAGTAAAATGCATCTCGATTACTCCGAGTTAGGGCTGGGCGATTTTTCTGATTAAATCGATTAATTTGAATTTGATGTTTTGCCATGATTTTGAATAGAAATATTACCAAATGTTACAATTAGACACTGACAATATGCCAATGATAACAGTAAAGAGAAGAACTATCCAACCGCATGTCGGCACATGCGTGACACACTCATATCGCGAGGCGCCGTTCACACAGAATGCACTTTTGTTTCGTGTTGACAAAGATGCAACATGGAGAGTGGAATAGAAAAAACATGCAAGAAGATGAGTGAACTTCTTTTAATTTGAGCGCTGCGATTTTATAATGCCATTTCATGCATGAGATGCTGCGAGAGATGCTAGTGGAACAATCAAACGTGTCCATGTTTACATAGAAAAAACTATGGAAAAGCAGCGCAATCGAATAAAAAACCTGTAAAGAGCTACTACTGTATGTGACAGGCTGAAAGCTGCTGTTCGTTGTTTTCACAGAACATTCATTGTTAATAGTCTACTGGTGTTATACCTTCAGAAGTCAGAAAGAGCTTTATTAACAAGTATGCTTACACACACAAGGAATTTGACTTCGTGACAAGAGCTTCCAGTGCAGAAGAAAGTATGGATATAGAGCAAACTAGTGCAGCAGACATAGGAATTACACAGTAGGGATGGAGTATTAACACTAATATAAGAAAAACTGAAAATTAAATAATGCATTATATACAGAAGTAGAAATATAGAGAAATGTAACTGTTTAAATGAATGTACAGCTATATTTACAAGTGCGCAGTTTAGAAATGCACAATTTTCGGATTCTATGTATAAAAGCAGTCATTTTGCATTTGAATTACATTGACTGTTGAGAATTTTTTGAAGCATTTTCATCACAGCTTATTATTTCTGAACATATAACATGTAGGCTATAAGACAAGTTTGTACAGGATGTAATTGTAGTTCATGCATCTTTTCTGCAAAGATAAGTGATTTGTTTAACGTTATGACGTGACATGTGGCCAAGTATGGTGACCCATACTTGGAATTAGTGCTCTGCATTTAACCCATCCAAAGTGCACACACACAGCAGTGAACACACACCCGGAGCAGTGGGCAGCCATTTATGCTGCGGCGCCCGGGGAGCAGTTGGGGGTCCGGTGCCTTGCTCAAGGGCACCTCAGTCGTGGTATTGAGCGCTGTACATTCACTCCCCCCACCTACAATCCCTGCCGGTACGAGACTCGAACCCACAACCTTTGGGTTACGAGTCTGACTCTAACCATTAGGCCACGACTTAACAGTTATATCATGTTGACAACTTCATGTGTGCTGCACTTAGAATAGAATTTTCTTTAACTAGAGGGTTAATAAAGAAAAAGCTATTTGAATCATGTTGTAGTAACATTAAGTCGACTAGTTAAAAATCGAGAATCGGTCAAACGTTCTGAAAAAAAATCAAAATTTCATTTTTTTGCCAAATCGCCCCACCCTACTCTTAAGTAATATAATCAAAGCAATAACAAAGCCAGCAGCTGGTGTAATTCATAGAAAATGCTAAAATAAAATAAAAACAAATACAATTCAAAGACAAAAACATAGAGCAAAAAGTCTATTGAATTTATTAGTTCAATGGCATTGAGAGAGTATAATGATTGTTCCTTAAGTAAATGGAATGAACATACACAATAGTATGAACATTCAGGACAAAAAGTACATTTATTAGACATCTTTTAATCGTAGCTACTTTACCTTCTACATAGGCCAACAGTGGTATTTTATCTTGTGTTGTCAAGTGCAAGCATTCTGCCCTGATCCTGGTATAGTTGCTGACATCCTCATAATCTTCCCAACCAGGAAAAAAAGAGGATACTAACATAATTGGTGTTAAATTGTTTGTCCATATTTGCTCAAATTATGTGAAGTTCAAAAGAAATTCAAGTGAATTCAAAGAGGAAGCGAGGGACAAGTGTTGCCTGAGGGGTTTGCATTTTTTCTCCTTTTTTCTCATTTTCTGTAAATCATTCTGTTCCACTACAGCATATGTGCCCATTTTCTTTTCCATCAAGTCAAAGAACCTGCTAACTATAAAAAATAAAACGCTCGTTGTGATGCTAGACAGCTAGGCTTTGTGATAGGTGGCCATAACGTGACATTTAATTCAGCTCTTTGTTTTCATATGGCAAATCAATAGCCTAAATATGCTACATCTTTGCTATTTCACAGTAAGATCATTGCATCAACCACTGATTTGATTTCAATTTAGCTGGATTCTTCACATACAGTAAAAATATCTTTGCTGATTTACATGTAAGTACTTCATCTTCTACCACAACGTTGCCATCTCAGGTCCACAATTGAACCCATTTAGTTTTAAATGCCACAAATCTTCAACAAGCAGTTCTACAATGTACACAGAGTCCAAAAAGATCAAAACTCTTGTTTTGAATTATTTTTTAGGTATAATCTGCTAATGTCACTCACAAAGTCCTTCTCCATATGAAAATAAACCACAGTTTAACAGGAAACATTGAACACTAAAATGTACAATGTTCACACAGTGCTCAGGAAAGAGAAGTCCAGTTTTCCAGAGATTCCACAAAGTTCTGCTTGCTTTTTAAAGACATAAATGAGTGAATCTCATGAAAAACTTGAGAAATGTTCACCTTTCACCCCAAAACTAAAGCAAATAAAACCTATTTTTAGGACCATGCATTGACATAATTGTCATGGCAATAAAATGCGGTTGTTACTTCTTTAAGTAAAGGAACTGTGAGTGGGGGGCAATCATATTTAACTGCAGTGTGAACATGGCACATGAAACAAGACAAAACATAAACCACCAAGAATGTAAAATAGCAGATTTCTAGCATCTAATACACTAAAATAACTTTTTTTTGCGTGAATAAAGTGGTGCAAACTTACAGTGGTTTCCCAAAAGTTCAGTACATGTCACAATAAGGCTGTTTGGAGATTTTTTTCTCTCTCTAGCCTTAGTGCTTTTTCTTTTCTTGGCTTCATTATCTTCTCTCTAAAGATAATTGTCACCGTGGGAATTCTTTTGCAATTCAAAAAAGTAACATTTACTATTATTATGTCTACGAAAATATTCTGTCTCATTTTTCTGCAAATGACTTTGTAGTGGAAATCTCAAAGGGAACTAATTTTACAGAACAAATCATCAATCACAAAATGAACATAGGTTATACACACACTTATTATGAGATGTTAACAATGTAAAGTTACAAATATAGAACTTTACGAAACAAAATGGATTCCCTTATTAGATAAAAAGTCAATTAAATTCCAACAAGGAAACAGAATAGGAATGTTGTCTTGGTTATTCCACTTTCTTGGGGCTGTTTTCTACTCTTCCCAGTAAAACTGTATTGCATTTCAAATCCCAAACTCTAAACGCTCTAAACAGGCATAGTCTTTCTTCCGAGGGCCTCAGAGCTGCAGATGCCTGGTAAGACAAAAGGAAGCACTGGGTGTGAATCGAGATTACAGACCCAACTCTTGAAAAACTAAAGAACTGCAGGGGGGGGAACAGGGGTCCAACTACGGGGGGAAAAAAGTGATCTAGTGCTACGGGGTTCGAGGAGCGCTGATGGGAAACTGCGTTATGTTGCATTCATGATCGTGAATGTACGTAAACTTGAAAAACAGTTCTAGTATTGCTGTTGCAGTCAGAGAGCTCATGGATCTACTAATTTCTAATAAAGTTTCGCCAACATGTCCGTCCGGATGAGGAGATGTAGAAATGCTACAAGTGTCAAGTTTGGAGGTTTTGTGATAGAGAACCCTCTGACACGAGGGACCGAACCGTAAACATTCAGCATAATGTATAAAATAGGGAAGCTTTCAAGATGTGATTTCGGACCATGACGGAAGAGTTTGAGGAGGCTGGTTATACGGCAAATCCAGGGATTCCAGAAAGCGCTCATCAGTCAAGACGACAAAAAAGGAAGGTGCAGGCGTACGGCTCTCCGAGAGGGCAATGCAGGCAAGGGTCGGGGTCGGGACTGGAGTGGGAAGTAGTCTTGCCCTGAGGAAGGCTACAAATCACAGTGAGAAGGCACGGGGCACTCGAGTTTATGGGGCGTGAGGTTGAAATGGGGCAGCAGGCGGGATTGGTCAAGGGCCGTGCCCTGCTTCAAAATATGGTGGTCTCATACTTGGTGCAACTCGAAGGCCTGGAGGATTCCCGCGGATCGAAGAGCCAACTGGTGCTGCCCAGGGACTGCAGGTCCATTTCCGGCTCCAGAGGGTCGATCTGCCGGAGAAGTAGGAGCGAGGAGTGAGACTGCAGGAGAGAATGGCAGCCAACGGAAACCCACATTTCACAAAATTGAGGAGATGGCCGTTGAGGATGAACACCATGTAGGAGAAATCACCGTAGATATAGACAACAACACTGATATCAGGACCTGATGCTGGTTTGAGCGTTTATACACAAACAGATGCTCATTCTAGCTGCTAGTTAACAGACAAACGTTCTTGCAAATGGATTCTTAAATTCAATTTGCACACAATCTTCATCTTGAAATCGCTAGTGTAGTGTCTTTTAAGAAGGTCGCCTGATACTGTCATTTCAAGTTGTTTCCAAAAAAGTGACGATCTTGAGTTTGATAATAAAAAGTGTAAATGTAAAATAGCTGTCTCCAATGTTGCTGACGCAACATTTTAAGTATTGCTTAAAACGCAATACTTTGTTTTTGAAAAGTCCTCTCAATGACATTGTTAGGCGACACAAACTTTTCGTTCCACTTTACTCTCTAATAATTTTAAAGACATTGCTCCAGGCATGGTAAACCCAATTGAAAAATTGTGTAGTGATCTGTGAAGTACATCTATAACTGAATAAATCTCCTGAAAACATGTCTGGGTCACATTTCACTCCAAAATCCCTTCAGAATGTACATTTTGCATACATTAAAAATGAGCCTATACTTCACGATGCCATAGAAGAACCTTTTTGTCTAAATGGTTCCATATAGAACCTTTAACATCTGAAGAACCTTTCTGTTTCACAAAAGGTTCTTTGTGGCGAAAGAAGGTTCTTCAGATTATAAAAAGGTAAGAAAGAGATGGTTCTTTAAAGAACCTTTGACTGAATGGTTCTTTGTGGAACCAAAAATGGTTCTTCTATGGCATCGCTTGAAGAACCTTTTGAAGCACCTTTATTTTTAAGAGTGTAGAACCATTAGAGTTTTGCACTGTGACATTTTTTCCAAGACAATTATGCACACAATTACCATAATAATGCATATGGATGTTTAATTTTTTACAGTATTATTGTAAGGATTAAGCAATATTAAATTCACTACAATGAAGTATAAATACTAAAATAAAAAATTAAACATAAAAAATAATATAACAATTTAAATAATATATTGCCTACCTGTATCTATCATTATATGTGTGTGTGTCTGTGTGTGTGTGTGTGTGTGTGTGTGTGTGTGAAACGTAACAGGAAAATTAGTAAAGTGAATAAGTGGCAGGGAAGAGAAAGCCAGAGATGTAGCAGGAAGAAGAGTGCTGGAGAATGTGAGGAAGAGAGAGAGAGAGAAAGAGAGAGCAGAACCTGAACTCCAGGGCTGATAGAGGGCAGCGGGAGGTAGGAGGGGCGGTGGACGGAGCACGTGTGACAGTAACAGCAGCGGCATTCAAGCACAGGTGCACCCTGGGAAGGAGGACCGGGCAGAAGCACAGAGACACAGATTACAGGCTTACCTCAACAAAATAAAGTAATATAAGATATGAAAAATATAACGGGACTGGAGGTGACACCTGTTCCATGTGGGTCATTTCTATAGCGCAGTACATTTTTACCACGCCATCATATACAGTATGTCTAAATAAATAAAAAAATAAAAAAATGGAAATCACGTGATCTTTTATCAAAATTGAACATGGTGAATTTTAAATGGTTTCACTACCTTTGTTTTAGCTGATGTTTTTCATCCTGCACTTATAACATAAAAAAAAAACATTCTTCATTTCTTTTCCCTTTTTTAATCAATGTTTTCTTGGGAATAAAATTCGCTTTTGGTGATTTTTTTTTATATTTGTTGTGTCTCACTCTAAAACATTCAATCCAGTTCGATAACATTACAGAAATTAGTAGAGAATATCAACATTTCAAAATCAGAACTTTTTAATCTCAAAATGAACTTAAAATTTAGCAAAATGAATCTTTCCCTCTTGTTGACATTGTAATATAAGCTAACTATCAGTCCCTTGATCAACAACGGATACATTTAGCTCTTAATTTCCTTCATGTTTATTGTCTTGCAATTCTGCAAATAATATAATCATATTTAAGAAAGCCTGTGCTTGACCAAAACATATATTTGAACATCTGCTATATCCTTTTATAGAATCCTTAAAGTTCAGAAGGTACTACAGAATAGAAATGACTCAAGGATTAACACTAAAATTTAGCTACTCAAAATCAATCCCCCACTGAACCGGGCACAAATAACAATGAAGCGTGTGCTGTGATTTTATTGTGTCAAAAATGACTCAAAATACCCAAATGTAATATAGACGTTTTTTTAGAGTAGAAGTCATATTTAAACTGACATAAATACAAATGAGGCTGCAAAGGAAGCTGTGTAACTGAGAACATATAAACTCCAGAAAATAATGCTTGTGAAAACAATCTCCAACCAAGGACCTTAAGACATTTAGGAAAAACCTTAAAGGGTTAGTTCACCCAAAAATGAAAATTAGCCCATGAATTACTCATCCTCAAGGCATCCTACGTGTATATGACTTTCTTCTTTAAGACGAATCCAGTCGAAGTTAAATTAAAAATTGACTTTGATCTTCCAAGCTGTTTAATGGCAGTCAGCGGGTGTTGCAGTTCATCAGTCCAAAAGAAGTGAAATAAAGCGCATCCATCCATAATAAAAAGTGTCTCACACGGCTCCGGGGGTTGAACAAAGGCCTCGTGTAGCGAATCTATGCATTTTTGTAAGAAAAATAAGCATATTTAAACCGTAATAATGAATTTAATCTAGCTTGCGCTCACTGTTGTAAACGGAAGCAGCTCTGGGCGGATGACGTATGAGGTCGGCGTTGCGCATGCGCCGCTCAAAAGTGACGAACGCGGAAGTGCAATTTCTATAGCGCAGTACATTTTTACCACGCCATCATATACAGTATGTCTAAATAAATCCAAAAAAAAAAAAATGGAAATCACGTGATCTTTTATCAAAATTGAACATGGTGAATTTTAAATGGTTTCACTACCTTTGTTTTAGCTGATGTTTTTCATCCTGCACTTATAACATTAAAAAAAAACATTCTTCATTTCTTTTCCCTGTTTTAATCAATGTTTTCTTGGGAATAAAATTCGCTTTTGGTGATTTTTTTTTATATTTGTTGTGTCTCACTCTAAAACATTCAATCCAGTTCGATAACATTACAGAAATTAGTAGAGAATATCAACATTTCAAAATCAGAACTTTTTAATCTCAAAATGAACTTAAAATTTAGCAAAATGAATCTTTCCCTCTTGTTGACATTGTAATATAAGCTAACTATCAGTCCCTTGATCAACAACGGATAAATTTAGCTCTTAATTTCCTTCATGTTTATTGTCTTGCAATTTTGCAAATAATCTAATCATATTTAAGAAAGCCTGTGCTTGACCAAAACATATATTTGAACATCTGCTATATCCTTTTATAGAATCCTTAAAGTTCAGAAGGTACTACAGAATAGAAATGACCCAAGGATTAACACTAAAATTTAGCTACTCAAAATCAATCCCCCACTGAACCGGGCACAAATAACAATGAAGCGTGTGCTGTGATTTTATTGTGTCAAAAATGACTCAAAATACCCAAATGTAATATAGACGTTTTTTTAGAGTAGAAGTCATATTTAAACTGACATAAATACAAATGAAGCTGCAAAGGAAGCTGTGTAACTGAGAACATATAAACTCCAGAAAATAATGCTTGTGAAAACAATCTCCAACCAAGGACCTTAAGACATTTAGGAAAAACCTTAAAGGGTTAGTTCACCCAAAAATGAAAATTAGCCCATGAATTACTCATCCTCAAGGCATCCTACGTGTATATGACTTTCTTCTTTAAGACGAATCCAGTCGAAGTTAAATTAAAAATTGACTTTGATCTTCCAAGCTGTTTAATGGCAGTCAGCGGGTGTTGCAGTTCATCAGTCCAAAAGAAGTTAAATAAAGCGCATCCATCCATAATAAAAAGTGTCTCACACGGCTCCGGGGGGTGAACAAAGGCCTCCTGTAGCGAATCTATGCATTTTTGTAAGAAAAATAAGCATATTTAAACTGTAATAATCCATTTAATCTTGCTTGCGCTCACTGTTGTAAACAGAAGCAGCTCCGGGCGGATGACGTATGAGGTCGGCGTTGCGCATGCGCCGCTCAAAAGTGACGAACGCGGAAGTGCAGGGGAGAGATCAAAACAAAACAACGGTCACGGATTAGAAGTACAAAACGAGGATTTGTAAAGAAGAATGTCGGAGGATTTCGATATGGACTGGTTTTCCTTTGCTAAAGTAAGGAAACTTTGCTTCCTTTGCTCCTGTAAACAAACGTTGGTTTTCACTACAGTAAGAAAGTTATTTCCCTTAACCAGGAAATTAACGTTCTTAGAATTGACAAGACAGTTGACCCTGAGTGGTCAGCTAAATATCTACAGTGGATCTAAAATATGAATAATTAATTATAACTAGTTATGGTTAATTATTCATATTTCCCCATGAGCTGATTCGCTACAGTTTTGAATAAGGATATTTTTCTTACAAAAATGCATCGATTCGCTACAGGAGGCCTTTGTTCACCCCCCGGAGCCGTGTGAGACACTTTTTATTATGGATGGATGCGCTTTATTTCACTTCTTTTGGACTGATGAACTGCAACACCCGCTGACTGCCATTAAACAGCTTGGAAGATCAAAGACCATTTTTAATATAACTCCGATTGGATTCATCTGAAAGAAGGAAGTCATAAATGCCTAGGATGGCTTGAGGGTGAGTAAATAATGGGCTAATTTTCATTTTTGGGTGAACTATCCCTTTAAGAAACTTCGAATCAGTTGTACCTCTATACTTCACAGCCATTAAATATGACATTTACTCTGACTGAAGTCTATCGATTCTGTCGATTTTTTTCCTATATCTATTTTTTTTATATTTTAGTTTAGGTTTCAAGTTTTATGGACAGCATCTGTGACAAGCTGTCGATTAACACAGAATCATTTTGACTCATCCCACAGTTTGTATAAGAAAGCAAAAATCATGTTTACAGTGATGCACTCGAAATGGAGGAAGATATATTGCAATAAACGTGAAAATATAGAAAATACACAAGGTTTCTAAAGTTAAAAAAAAGACTTTAACATTAGTTACATGAGACTTACAAGCCTTTAATGTACCATTAAGCTGCATTTTTTTTTTTTTACATATTTCTGCATTTAAAGCCTGTAGACATCCATTGTAAGTGCAATACTGTAAATACTGTTTTCTGAGGCAAACAAAAATATGTAAACACAATATATTCATGATACTATGATATCAGATAACATGTGCTGAAGTCATACTCACGGTGGAGCGGCGCGTGCTATTGTGGGACTGCGAGGTGGGCCTTTTGGTCTTGGGTTCTATGTTTTCGGAGGCTGGACCAGCATATGAACTGTGACGACGGGCCTTCTGTGCCTGGAGAGCCATCTGATACGCCACCTCAAACGCCTGTCCCAGCGTAAGGATGATCTCATAGGTCTGTGTCTATATGGGGAGCAGCCATTAGCTGAGTCATTAAATAATTACACAATATGGGATTTCACTCTCAGTAAGGCCATGAAAAGTGGCAGAGAAAACTACACTGGACCTGACAGTCAAACTGCAACCTGTAAGTGTTACTCATTTTCACATGTGAAGACGACAGCCAATCACAACAGAGCTAATTTACATAAAGCAGTACGCTGTTTAATTTTAAGGTTAAAAGTAATGGGGGAAAAAATTGTAATCAAATTGTTATATTTATCAAAATTAAAATCCTACGTAGATATTAAATTCAGTGTCCGAAAAAATTCATTAATAACAAAATAAATTATTAAATTACATATTAAATTAATATCCTGTGTAAATTCAATTCAGTATTTCAGAAAAACATTTAGTCAAATATTAAATAAAATTAATATCCTGTGTAGATTCAAATCAATACTTCAGAAACTATTTGAATTAACCATTCATATTTATATTTTTTATTTTAGCAGCTTGCAAGTGAGAAATATTAATAAAACATCTATCTGTATCTATCTATAAATAATAAAATTCATATAAGACAAAAAATACATTTAATTAAATAATCAATGAAAATTAAATTACATTTTGGTGAAAAACACCCTGACACCTTAATACTATAAATTAAATTAGAGAAACAAACATTTCGTTTGCTTGTAAATTTTGATTTATACTTTAGACTGTATTATTCGCTCAATAACTAGACTCAATATGAAAGTAAACAGGGTTAATTTTGTTTTCATATTGACTTTAATGAACCTATTCTCTGTCAACCCTGATTGGTTCCCCTATAAAAGAGCAGATAAAAATAAGGTTGCAAAAATTCCGGGAATTTTTAAAACTGGAAACATTCCATTGGAATTAATGGGAATTTGCACAATTGCAGGTTAGCCTATAACAGGGAACTTAAATGTAAAAGTTGCAGCGTACTCTTGGTTAAACAACAAGACTTTATGTAAATTCAGTTTTCAAAATTTCTACTCTGCACATTCCTCAATCACATGCAAACAGCACACTACTTAGCCCAAGGACTGCATCCATTCAAGTGAGTTTTGATGTTACATGGTGGGTAAAAATATTTGATCTATGGTATTAAAGTTTCACTAGCAAATACCAAAATGTGTTTATACAGTAGCTAGCTAGCCAGTAAATCATATCTGCTAAATATAAGCTAGTTAGCACTATTTCATTAACAATTTATAAGGGCTAGGTATCAAGCTGTGAGGCTCTTTCTTCTACCTTCTGCTAGCCAGATTTCTGTTATCATACAGAAGTACAGTACTGGACACATTCATATTGTTAAAGTTTTGCAAGCCTGCATTAATTTGACCCAAAATACAAAACAGTAATATTGTGAAATATTATTACAATTGAAAATAATGGTTTTCTGTTTTAATATATTATATTTATTTAATATATGTATTCCTGTGATGCAAAGCAGAATTTTCAGCATCATCACGCCAGTCTTCAGTATCACATGATCCTTCAGAAATCATTCTAATATGCTGATTTATTTTCAATTTTGGAAAGAGTTGTGCTGCTTACATTTATATATATATATATATA